TGTAAACCAGGAAGAACATCATAATCAAAATGTGTTAAAATACAAGCATCAATAGTTTGTAAACCACGAATTAAATTCCAATAAGAAGGCATTCGACTAAAAAAAGAAATCATAAAAATTTCGGATTCAATTTTCCAATCATTCTAAACGACATATAAACAAAAACAAAAATCTAATATATTAAGGTAAGTAATCAGAGCTGAGCACAGAATACCACGTTCCTGTCCTGTAGCAAGACAAGCAACGACAGAATAGAACAGAGAAGCTGGTCTAGTATTCAATCTAATATCTTTTCACAACTTTTGCATAATACCTACTGCTAATCTAAAATAAAAATAAGTATTTTTGTTGTTCTATTTAACGTCCCATGCTAAGCTCTGTTAGTAGAGTCCGTCGAATTCGAACTTTACTGCCAACGACAAAAGTTTAATATGACGATACAAAGTGTTGATATACTTTCTGTGTCTTTTTAATATTTAATGATCGATTATTATATAATTACTTTTGTCTATTTTGTGTTTTGTCTCTATTTCGTTGTTCGATGATTCTATTCAAAATGTACATAATACATGAAGAAAAGCGTTGCTACGTCATCAGAGTGAACAAGAAGGCTCTATAAATGTCTCACGAATAGCACGACTTCTAAGCTGTCATGTTCATACAATACACCGCACTATTAATTATTATCATTCCCATAATGATGTAAATTATGGACATAGTCCTGGCCGTTCATCTGCATTCGACTCATCTCAAATCATACAACAAAATTGATCGGCTACTGCTGCTGAATTACTATCTCTTACACACTTCAACACTACTGAGCACACGATACAACCAGGGGCGGCGCGAGCGGGGGGGGTTGGGGGAGGGTACCCCCCCCCCCTGCTTTGGAAAGTTCGACTGCAGCTTTCTCCGATTTTGAGAAAAACTGTCCCAAAATGACTCCATTTTGGTAGAAAATGTCTTAAAATTTCTCCAGTCAATGAGAAAATGTCCCAAAATTGCTCTAATTTTGGAGAAAATGTCTCAAAATTTCTTCAATTTGGCAGAAAACATCTTAAAAATTCTCTAGTTGGTGAGAGGATATCTCAAAATTTCTTGAATTTTGCAGAAAATGTCTCAAAATTTCTCGAGTTGGTGAGAATATGTTCCAAATACTTCTTCAATTTTGGAAAAAATGTCTCAAAACTTCTCCGATTTGAGAGAAAATGTCTTAAAATTTCTCCAACCAATGAGGAAATGTCCCAGACTTTCTTCAATTTTGGAAAAAATGTCTCAAAATTTCTCCAATTTTGGAAAAAATGTCTCAAAATTTCTCCAATTTTGGAGAAAATGTCTGAAAAATTTTTCAACTTCCGAGAAGATATATTTTGAACTTCTTCCGGGTCTGAAGAACCTTTATTACAATGTTCTCCATTTTTTGTAATTGATAACAGAAGAATCTACCTATCTACTTGCTTTCAAAAACACTAGTAAAAAAAAGGTACTAGGTACTTACAATTTGGAGACTTTTTTCTATTTTCTCCCATTTTTCACAGTACCCCCCCCCCTGCTCTGAGCTCTTCGCGCCGCCCCTGATGATGATCTTATAGTAATCAAGCCCTAATTGGCTGTCATCTTTTAAAGTATAGCCCGTTGAGTTGGTTTGATCTCTGGGAGCAACTCGACAGGCTCTACCGACGAAGAATATGAATGATCATTCATAAAAATACTCATTATTTTCTCATTTGATAATTTGAAATTTATTCATTAAATGTCATTGTTTAAATATGAAACAAAAAAAAAACATCAGAGATTTTATTGTTTATATATTTTGTTT